TGTCAAGTACAGATTTGCGACAAAAGAGATAACGAATGCCTTGGAATTACGGTAAGTAAACAAATGTTCACTTGACTTAACATCAAGGAAAAATCTTTTTGGGGTGACCCATAATTTCTTACCGTTTTCACTATAACCGTCGTCTCTTTGTATTTTATTTTCATTAGATGTTGCTTGAGTAATCATTTGACAGGGCAGAGCAAGCTCTACAAGATGGCTATAAAGAATCCGTTCAAATCGTATTTAACCGGAAATTTTGAGTTGAAATTTGATAGTAGTCGAAAACGAACTGTTTCTTCAAAAATCGTATCTCCACCCCAAAATGTCTCAAAAATTCCCTATTTATCCTAACGTATGCTTGACACATCGCACTTTTGTGCTATTTCCCTATATCTTCCATGGCTTAGAAAAAGAAAAAAAGGATGGGATAAAATGGATAACTCCGCCCCTAGACATCCTGAGCTCCTCCCACGCACATGTTCATATAGCTCATACATACAAAAGTACGACCATGATTAGAATACTTTGAAGGTGCCCCAACTCTCGAAAAATGTTGATGTTTAGGCTAAAAACGGTAAAAAATATGCTACACCCTAATATTAGGTTCCGAAAGTAATGTCGCTTTTTTCAAACGTATGCCACATCTCGTGGAACAAAGATGTGTAAGAGTTTCTGGTAGCATTTGATGCAGCATTTCATTCTCTTTCTAATGGTTATGAAGTTGTTGCAATACAGTCAATGAGCTTCCAGAAAAGAGTCAATATCTGCGACTTTTTGAGATGGCCAAGTTTCACAATTTTTATAAAATTTAATAACTAACCTCAGAACGAGTCCAAGTAACGGATGGACGGAGCAAACCATACAGGAAACAGCACAACTTTTTTTCTACTTTCCAGAGCTCGTCATAATTTTTGTACAGATTTTTCGATGGAACCACCGAATTTTGACAGGCTCGTCTCAGACACAAGTGCATCAAACGCCAACAAGTCTTCGGATTTTAAAACTTACAAAGATGGATTATGGTTTGGCAACAATTTTGCAAACAAAACGAGCATTCATCGCTTCGGTTTAGCAACTTTCGAAAATTTCGGGTACACCTTGGGGTCCCTTGGAAAAGGTGAATTATGAGATTTTATCCCGGAAAACTTGATCAATCGGAAACAAAAAACAACCGCTAGAAAGAGGAGAAAACGCTGCATCGAATGACACCCGAGTCGCTTGCCGGTTGTTGTTCTGTGAGGTTTGACTTGACTAAATATGGAATTTGATGGCATTGAGAAATTGATTGTAGAAACTCTGAGAAGCAAGCTAAGGAAAAGAAAAAATTGCTCTGTGTTCTATAATGTTTGCTCTATCTACCTGTCACTTGTACTTTTTCGGAAATTAGGTACAAAAATTCAAAAAAAGTCGAACTTGACCATGGCAAAAAGCTTGAGTCGCAGATTTTGGTAATTTTTCGAGAGCTCATCAAATATTATGCAGTGAAATTAAAACCATTAGAAAGAGGATGAAATGCTGCATCGAATGCTCCTAAGATCTGTTGAAAATGTTGATTCCACGAATAGTGGCGTTCATTCGAAAAAAGCGACATTACTTTCGGAACGACCTAATACATACAGGGTGTCCCAAAAAAATGTTTAGAACGTTTGATCGTTAATATCTTTCTTCCCAAGAAGTCTTTTGCCTTGCTTCAGGTACCGTTTTGTAGAGCTGGCTTCAACTTAGATTTCCATTATAGAAGGAGTCACCCATACCCTCGATACATAGAGCCACGTACTCTGGTAACCTTCACTTTGAGGGCTATGGGGGGACACAACCTTCACCTGAAAAAAAACAGAAGTCATCCGGGGCGAAGCCTGGATGTTATTATCCTGATTATATCCGAACGAATGTTAATGAAGCAAATATAGGGATTAAAATCTTTAGCTTATCTCGGCGAAACCGAGAATTTACGTTTTCATAGTCTTTTTTTACCTTAAAAGGGTTTTTCTGTGGGATTTTCGCCAGAATTCAGAATAAAATTTCTTAGTTAACCTCACATTTGAACAAAATCGCGTTTCAGAAGTTTAGGAAAGTTATTGGGGTTAAATAAGACGAGGAACTGTGCTTAAATCTTGCGCAGAGAGTCGCGCACGAAAATGCTAGTCTATCTCGTTAATGTGTGATTTTTGAAGCTTGGGACGTTGTTAGTTCTCATCGTCGTGTCATGGCGATCAGAATGATATATAATGTTGCAGGGTTTCGTTGAGATCCCGCGGAGATCTACGACCAGAGCCAAATGCCCCGTCGGCTCTGGTCTGGCTCCGCTGCTCGTCTGCGTCTCCGCGCGCTGCGCGCTACCTCGCTACCCCAAATGCGGGGCGCGGGGCATTTGGCTCTGGTACCCTTTTCTTCGCAGTCTCTGACCCAATTTTAGCAAGCTATATATCATTTTGAAGCTCTTGATCTCTATTTTTACGCTGACAACGTCCCAAGACCACATTTTTTGATTTGGTCGAGAAATCCGGCAAAAACCCTGTTTTCGAAAATCTCTTGTTTTTTTCCTAGTTTAACTCTTTTCACGCGGTTTTTTCGTGCATTCTATAGATCTTGCTTCTATTCATAACGCAGACAACCACCCAGTCTTTACCTCTTCGATTATGATGGAATTTTTTGCCAAAAATCGTAAAAAGCGCGTTTTTCTTTACCTTGTTCTGTTTCAGTGCCTTCGCATCAATTTTTTTCTAGCTTGGGCGATTTTTGCTTAGAACAATAAGCGCAACATTCCAGACAACGTCCCAGGAAACAGGAACGTCAGTGCGGGGGTAAAAATTCAAAGGACGCATCAAAAATCAAAACCCCGTGTTGCGAATTGCTGGTCCTAAAGCGAAAACTTGCACCTTGAAGAGCCGCCAAATGAAAGATTTCAAGCCTCATTGCTGCCTTTTTTATCCGGTTTTCAGCTGTTTCTTTTGCTTTTTATATCTGTTTAATGTCATTTTCTCTTCTGTGATCATCTTTAAACAACCTTCACTATTTATGACGTCAGATGTTCAAACAACCTTCACTTTTGACGCCCTGTCTCTAGACTATCGAAGGTATGGAGTCACCCATCTCTCTCCATTACTGTAGGGTTACGGTAGAAACTTCAAAGAGGGTTTTGAACCATGAAAGGCCATATTTTGCCTCAGAAAGGAAACAAAACAGCCTGAAAACTTTTACACCAGGCTAATTAGAATTGCTGATTATAAATGTAAAGTTCAAAACTTATTATGATGCTTCATTGAAGAGTTATGCCAGGTGAGAAATAGCGGCCTTTTTTTCAATGTTCCTAAAAAGTGCGATTACACCGTTTAGAAAGCTTCGTAATCTTGTGAATAGTTGAGTATTGAACTCAGCGTCTATAAAAACCCTATTACAAAGTTTTCACAATTTTTTGAAAAATTTTGAAACGGCAGCTTTTTCCACATTGACACCATATGTTTCAAGTTTCTACCGTAATCCTACAGTAATGAAGAGAGATGGGTGATTCGTTCTATAATGGAAATCTAAGTTGAAGCCAGCTCTACAAAACGGTACCTGAAGCAAGGCAAAAGACTTCTTGGGAAGAGAGATATTAACGATCAAACGTTCTAAGCATTTTTTGGGACACCCTGTGTATTGGAAGAAGTGTGGTGAAAAACGATAATGAAAGTGATAATGAATACAGGGTGTCCCAAAAAAAGTGTGAACACTGTTTGATCGTTGATAACTCCGTTGCTTTCACGTCTTTCGCGCCGAGCTTGAGGCACCATTCCGTGGAGCGAGGTTCTTAGATTTGTAGTATGAAGCGAATCACCGATCGCTGTTCGTTGCTGTAGGATTACGGTATGAACTTCTAGCATGTGGATTTGTTGTAAAATATGCCATTTGACAAAATTCCTTCAAAAAATCTGAAAAATTTTGTATTAGGATTTTCGTGCGCGCTGATTCCATTAGACAACTTTTTACGAGTGTTTTTAGCTTTTTTTGACGGTGTAGTCACATTTCTGACAAATGTTAGAAACAGTTATTACGGTTTAAATAGGATAACCTTGGAAAGAAGCATCACAGTAAAATGGAAATTTCATAATCGAAATTAGCGTCTTCCATTGCCATAGTATAGAAGTTCTTGGGTTGTTTGGTTTTGTTCCGGGGCAAAATATGGCCTACAATGGCGTATCCTTGTCGAAGTTCCTATCGTAATGCTACAGTAATGAAGAGCAATCGACGATTCGCTGCATACTGTAAATCTAAGTTAAACTTCGCTCTATAGAATAGTGCCTCAAGCTCGGCGAAAGACATGAAAACAAGGGAGTTATTAACAATCAAACAGTGTTCACATTTTTTTGGGACATCCTGTATTTGTTGAAGACAGAATCAAAAACTGAGATAAAACGATGAATTTAAGACAACCACCAAATCTATGTGTCCCATTACGTTGCTACTTTCAATTTCTATGTGTAATTCTAACTTTTAGCCACCGAACTGCCCGCTTGTACCCCGAAGTGAATTTATGCCCAACTCTGTTGTTGATCCATCCGTAAATCCAACTCAGGTAAATAATCCCCCTCGTCTACAATTTGTACTTACTCCGAAGAGCTTTTCTCTTTTAGGTCATAGCCACTTTTGAAGGCACACTTCGCTCTGCAATGGGTAACGCAGTCCTTGATGGCACACTTCATCCACCAGGTCAGCTTCCTCGTCTTTAATATCTGAGTATATAAACTGCTCGTACTGAAGTTTTTCCAGCGTACTCGCCAGAATTCGAGGATTTGTACCCATGGCGAAAGGAGCAGAACGGCTTGGATGAGGATAACAACAGTACGGAAAAGGAGGTGCACGAGACAAGCACATCAACGTCAGAGACACAAGATACAGATGCAAGGCAGACGACGTTGAAAATGTTGACAACTGAAGCTCCGGTGATTTCATTTTCAATAAGGCAGCGTAAATGGTTGCCTATGTGGTGGCGTTGTGCCAGCACCGTTCCAGCGCCGTGCCGAGATCTACGCGCCTCGCCTCGGCCCGATTGATGTGCACGGCGCTGGCACGGGTAACTCTAGACGCAACCCAACATTGTTTGCTAGTCATACTTCTTATCATATCCAAATTTAGCCCGAACAAACAACTTTTGACCTCTCCACTACCGAAACGAATGACTTCCCCTGGACAATACCTATGATTCCTGACCTCAACGATCATCCACTAGAGATTTTTGTGAAAAGCACCAGCGCAGCGCCTATCATTCGACCAGGTAAACCTTCCACTAGTCACCTCTAGATAGGTCGATATATTGATGCATTCAGCATCTGAACGGTCTGGCAGACGTCTAGCTGATCAGATTATTGATGTGATGACGGAAGAGCTAACGCTGCGACCAGTGGATGAGTTGTCTACAACTGAAGGTATGAAGGAAAAGTATACAATATTGGCATTCACAGAAATTTCTTGGTGATAGAGACCGCAGCAATCAACAATTCAAAAATTGAAAACAATGATTCACAGTTTATTTGACCGACTATCACAATTTCGCGATCTATCCCATTTCCATTGTAAGAATCCGACTTCAACTGGATAGTTCTAAGATTACTATTTTCGCATTCTAATTAAGTTTCAAAAAACGTATTTATGACCTCGCAAGTCACTGGACACTTATATACTGCAAAGGTCAAATGAGTGCGATTTTGGTGAAGAGAAGCTACGCATAGAGAGGAGTGAGGAGGAAGCAATTGAGCAAATAAAAGAGGAAAAGTTTCGACAGCTTTTGAGGAATAATAACGACAGAATACAAGAAAAATAACATTAGCTGGAAAACTGGCAACGAACAGATTCTTAGAAAAAACAATGGAATTTGTTGTTTGTGCAATTCGAGATATTATCAATCCTAAACGGATGAGCCAACATCAACACATTTCTTAATCTGATTATATTAGGTTGTCAGGAAAGTTTTGTCGGTTTCTTTCTTCGATCACTGAAACTCACAGAACACCAATCCATGGGCAAGCTAGATACCATTTGATTCAGATTTTTATCCTCTTTCATACAGTTATATTTTCTCTCTGATCTATCCTGTCTTTGTAATGTTATCTCTATGGCATTTTGAGCAGCTCAGCAGTAATGCCAAATCTTTCCTGAATTTTAAAAAATTTTGTACGTTTCAAAGAGAGCTGGTAATGTTATGTAGAGCAAGCCTTTGGCTACGTTGTGCTTATTTTGGATTACATGGGCCACGTTTACCAAGTCCGTTATAATTAATTATTTAATAAAAAACGCGACTTTTTGATTACATTTACCACGTAAAATTCCAAAAAGTTGCTTTTTTAAGGCAAATCAAACTTGGTCATGTTGCATACATGATGTTTAATTAGAACCATTTTTTAATTCGCAGAAGCTTTGAAAATTTCCGTGTATTTGCTGCAGTTGCGTGTTTCATGACTTTGCAAAAATCGAGACCTCTAAGAAATAATTTTTTCAAGCTATAAACAGGAGATTAGGAGAATCTAAAAATGTAGCCTTGTAGTCCGAGATTTGCTCTATCAGAATCCTACTTAACCTTTTGGAAACTTCAGAAAGAAAATTTTAAAAATCAGCAGATCTTTGACCAGATAAGATGGGTGGACGGAGAATCTTAACAAATATCGAAAAAAAAGCATACAAGATTATCGAGAAAACATCCATAAGAAAGAGAAGGAAAAGGTGCATTGAATGCATGTTGAAACTCATTCAGATGTTTATTGTGCGTGGTTTTATAGTGGTTTGAAAAAACCGACAAAACTTTGGGGACAACCTGATAGAAAAAAAGGAAAATCAGAGATATGAGCACATAGATGAGAACAAAGTGGTTCCTAGAATAAAAGAATGGAGATAACCCCTAATGAAAGGCATGAGTTTAAAAAGAAATTTTGTCATTGAGATTTTATAATAGTATGAGTTTTCAGCAATCCAGACGTCAGAGTCGCTACCCGAATCTCCGTTGACATGCTTTAATCAGATGTCTCTGTTTGCTGCTTGCACCGCTTTTGCGACATTAACGATTCTATGCACCATCTTATTCGCTTATATCTTTAGAGATGTTTGTCGAGGGTAAGCCCAAAATGTTTCATATAAATCAAAAAAACAATTGATTTTTCAGTCTAAATGCGTCAGAAGGAGTGGATCATTTCGCCATTACCTCCATACGCTCTGGGTGCTCTTCTCATTCAAGCGACATAAGCATCGACAGGCGAAGTGATCTACCTATATACTCTAGGCATCTTGGTGAAACTGGTTATATTATACGAAATTATTGAAGTGTATGAAGACTTTCTATATTCTCTCCGTTTTCTTTTGATCTGTTTTCTATTCCGCTGAACTTTCTCGAGGAAAAAACTTTACATTTGACGTCAAGTGTTCTTTTTCCCTGCTGCTTCGTTTTTGCATGCGATATTAGCCTTCAAATGACTCAGTGTAATTCCTAGCAATTCTATTTTCCTCCAATAGATACCTTTTTGCAAAAATTTGCTTGGAAAAAATCTTTGTAAATATAGCATTCTATCAAACATATTCGCTAGCAGCAATGGTTAGTGTTATTGACGAAACTAAACGAAATGTTGATTTGCCGTAGTCGATGTCTCGCTAGTCGTGTTGTAAGTAGTATTTTTGAATAGTAAAACCAGTAGAGACCGTGTCTCGCTTAGTTCAAGCTGAAATTATTTTTGTATTACGTGATTTTTTCTACTTTGTTTGTTAAGACCGGTATTTGATAATCTGATATATCGCATATTCTGTATAATTGAGTCTTTCTAACTGATAAAGTCGTCTCACAAAGATCAATTTTTTACGCCCACGTGCGTTCTGTGGCAACACAGCCGAACATGGAGAATGCTCTCAGACAATCGCAAATGACTTCCGAGGGAAACTGAACTTCTAAAACTTCCAGAGGGACGCTTCTATTGGTCGCCCTACCTGCTCAGACAGCGGATAGGACCCCTCCGCCGGAGAAATGGCAGGGCCGCGGGGTTTCCCCAGCGGTGGGTCTGCCACTCGTCCGCCGGAGCCCTCCCATTTCTGCTCCGGATACCTCCCATTTCTGCTCCGGAGACCTCCCATTTCTGCTCCGGAGCCCTCCCATTTCTGCTCCGGATACCTCCCATTTCTGCTCCGGAGACCTCCCATTTCTGCTCCGGAGACCTCCCATTTCTGCTCCGGAGACCTCCCATTTCTGCTCCGGAGCCCTCCCATTTCTGCTCCGGATACCTCCCATTTCTGCTCCGGAGACCTCCCATTTCTGCTCCGGAGACCTCCCATTTCTGCTCCGGAGACCTCATTTTCTGCTCCGGAGACCTCCCATTTTGTGCTCCGGAGGCCTCCCATTTGTGCTCCGGACCCCTCCGATTTTCTCCGGCGCGGCTCGTCCAAATCTGGCGGACTCGCGGCGGGCAAATTTCTCCGGCGCGGCTCTGCCAAATCTGGCGTACCTCCGGAGCAGAAATGGCGTACCTTTGCAGCAGGGCCGGAGAAGCGTCCCATTTGCCTGCCAGTGATGTCACCGCGACCTACAAGAAGGGACCGCCCATTTGCCCCGCTCTCATTGGTCAACTGGGTCCAGCGTGACTCTGGCAGATTCCGACTGTCCGGCGGAGGGGTCCGGTCGATTGTCTGAGATGGCCTCCGCCCTACCTGGCCTCGCCCTACCCGGCACTTCATAGAAATGTTCCACCGAAGTTTTACAAGTTCAGTTTCCCCCGAAAGTTATTTGCAATTGTCTGAGCTGCTAAACCAACAGATAGCGTCAGAAACAAATATCACAGACGACTTTTGGCACCGTAGAAGCTGTGAATGCGGTAAGATGGCCGGCAGTCTCCGGTTTCCGTTGGCTGAAGCTGATCAAGGTAATTACCCTCTGTCTCATTTGGAATGCGAACTCGAGTGGTTCAGACCTCACGCGACCGCTTTGCGTGGATTCTGCGGCGCAGTCGCAAATATGTGGGGGATTTTCCCATGTCTAATCAAGGATTGACGCTTGCCTCGGAGCCCTTTTTCCACGCTCAGGCGCTTAGGCGTGGGAAAATGATCAGCCGATAGGTCCGCGAACGAAGCGCAGAGTCCAAGCGAGTCGCGCAGGTATTTACCCCTTGTCCAATTTGAAGTGAACGGCTCGAGCGGAAGTGAGTTGTCCCGCTCGAGTCGTTCACTTCAAACGAGACCGGAGGTAAAAACCTGCGCGTTGCCACAAATCTGTCATTTTGGCCCGAGAGCAAAAGTGCGAGTATACCAAGCTGACAAAGGTTTACTGGGAAACAACGAGGGTCGAGCCAGGGGTATGGCACACGCTCGCTGGATGGCAGAGCCTCCCCCCCCCCCGCCCTGCTACTCCTGAGTTGTGTTCAGTACTAGCCTCATGAAGTACCGTATACATATACTTATACCTCCTATCGTAAGTATGACAAAGAGGCCCCACTAAGCAGAATGAATTTGTAGATAGCAAAACACATTATAGACAAAATTTTGTTTTCAAGTTTTCCACCTTTTCGAAGCCTTCACGCTATGAGGAATTCATACCTGGGCTTTTCAGCGCATGAAAATGGGCTTGTTCTGAAGTTTTCCAGGTCCGCATAGTGGAAAATACGTGTAAGTGGGGTGGGCCCGCAACAAGGGAGGCGGGATACGAAAGACTTCCGGCGTATTTACTGTGAATGCGTCCTGGAAAGCCTCCTCGGAAAAAGCTCATTTTCACTAGTTTCAGGCGCTGAGCCCAGGTATAAATTTCGCACGGCGAAAAGGCTCCAGTGAAAAAGTGGAAAGCGAAAATTTGCCGGGACGCTGCCTTTATCAGGTTTCCCTACTATGAGAAACAATCATTAACTTGGTTCACGCTGTGAAAGGTAAGTTAGCCACAGCTTATTAGTTAGTACAAAGTACTACCGTAATGCCGCTTCTTGGTCTACACTACAATACCGCTCACATTTTTTGAAAAATAGACGCGAATGTATGGACATGTATGGACATGTAGGGACATGTCCATACATGTCCATACATCAGCGTCGCGTGGCCATACATGTATGGACATGTCCATACATCAGCGTCGCGTGGCCATATCTCGCTTCAGGATGGACGAATTCTGAATCCAAAGCCACCATTCGATTCAGCTCGGCGCGGAGAATCTTCTTATATATTGGAAGTGGGGGTACGATGTCTTCGATACCGTTTCCAGTTTTTTTCAATTTGTTCTGCGGAGGTCCTTTCGCGAATATGTGGAGCAACGCCCACCCAACATAGAAGACTTTACTGAGTACCATAGGTGCGATAGGGGGAGCCGGGCCCTCTCCAGGTGAAGGGGGTCTCTGCTACTCCCAACCTTGTAAGGTGAAGTGGGTAAGTGAGCCCTGAAAGCAAAATGCCCCAACAAGTAACAAACCATTCGAAAGCTGAGGTCATATAGAATCGACATAGACCGTCGGCTTTTTTCTAGGTCGTCGACGGTCTACATTTGCTAATGAAGACTTGCTCTGTAACGCAGATAGATAACCAGCAGTGATTAGGTCTTCGTTTGGCAGAGATCTGCTGTTGAAAATGAACATGATTTCAGATAAAATGCAGTGTATCTCTCGGTAAAGGGCGGCTAGAAAGAATTCGACGGTCTACGTCGAGTCCCCTTTTCCTGAGCTTTCGAATGGTATATAAACTGCTGAGCGAAAAAACTTGCCAGTTTTTAAAAATGGTGTGGAGGTATTTACTATTAGCTTGCTCCACCCAGCTCCCCCAATGTATTGGCTTTTATCGGTCACCAGAGCAAGTGCTTTTTAGAGCCGGGAAGCGAAAAAGCCCTAACATGCTTTACACCGTTCGAAAGCTGAGATTATGGAGAATCGACGTTGACCGTCTCTTTTTCCATAGCTTCTCTGTAAAGCGAGATACCAGCAATTTTATACGCCTACTCACCACCTAATTTTGTGTAATTATTTTGTAATTTATTTTTGAAAGAAAGAACAAAGATAAAAAAAAAGAGACGGTCTACTTTTACTGGCAAGGTCTTGCTCTGTGATGCTGTTAGAAAATCAGGCACCTTTATCTATTCTTCACGCAGAAATTTCTCGACAAAAACACACATCTTTTTGGCTAAAATCCCGTGTAACTCTAAGTAGAGGGGAGCTAGAGAAAAAGAGAGGGTCTACGTCGAATCCTTTTTTTGTGGGCTTTCTAATGGTATACAGGTTGTTGGGTGAAAAGACTTGTGGTTTCTCAAAAATGAGGTGGAGATATTCAATAGTAACTTACTCCACCCCGCTCCGGCTTTCTATGGGCTGCCGGAGCAAGACTTTTTTGGACTGGGAAAGCTTTGTGCACCAACACCTTATATACCGTTCGATAGCTAAGAACATGAGGAATCGACTTAGACCGTCTCTTTTTTGTAGCTTCTCTGTGAAGCGAGATACGAGCAGTTTTATCTAGCTACAATATCAGCCAATTTTGGATAATTATAGTTTCAAACTAAGAAGGTCTTTTTCGACTTTTATACATGAGTCGAAAGCATGAAAAACGAGTAATCTAACTGTTGTTTTGTTTGTTACTATTCTCTCTAGTGGAAAGAGATATGGTATGATTTCTTGTCAGTAAACATGCATCCATCGCTAGTCGGTTCAGATTTTTCTACTCTTGCTCAACTCTTTTTTGCAAAGTATGTATTCATTGATACAATGTTAATTATTCAAAAAATCACCTTTACTTTTTGATTACGTCTCGTTATCAACGCCCTTTGAGCGCGCAGAAGGTCTCAATCATGCGTTTTTAAACGAAACGTTGTTGATTTGATACTCTCTTGCAGTCTTGATGTCTGAGGAGAAGAGCAGCTGGCGTTTCCTTCCCAAACAAAAAGTTCCGTTGTAATAGCTATTTGCCTTGATTAGTCTCAACCTCAGGTGAAAGGGGTCAGCCAGATGCCGGCCCTAAAGTGAAGGGGGTCAGAGAAATTTCTCCACCTATCGCATCTATGGTCCCGCATGCAGATTTCCAGCCGAAATTACTAGAAATTGTGCTATCGAATGGTGCATTACTCAGGCTCCAGTCTGTGAGATTCGCCGAGTTACGAGCCTACGAAAACACGTCCTCATGAATTTTGCTCAAAATGTAAAGATCGCATATCTCGTCGAAATTTCTCCGTGAGCGCTTGTACAACGCGCTGTTCAAATCCTTCCACATTTTTAATGGATCTTATTATGTTAGATTTGGTGCTTTGGGCTCTAGCCACGAAATAGCTTTGATATTCAACTTAGCAGCTGAAACAGACGCAAGCACCATATTCATTGCAGTGGGAGTCGTTCGACGAAGCGAACATAATATCTGCAACGAGCGTCATACAAGCGCTCACGGAGGAATTTCGACGAGATGTGCGATCTTTACATTTTGAGCAAAATTCATGAGGACGTGTTTTCGTAGGCTAGTATCTCGGCGAATTTCACAGACGGGAGCCTGTGTAGTGCACCATTCGATAGCACAGTTCCTAGTAACTTTGACTGAGAAAAGCAAGCAGGCAAGGTTTCTGATAGATACGCGAGAAGTGCGGGCAAAGTCATGAGCTTTCGTGAGTCCGTTACATTTACCTCACCACATCTCTGCAAAAAGACCCTATACTTGACAGAGAACACGATTTTCATAAACAGCGTGTACTAAAACCCCTATGAGCGGGGTTTCCTTCCAAACCAAGATCATCAAGATTCCAACCAAAACCCACTGGCGAGCTTCTGGAGCGTAAAACGAGAAAAAATGGAATAACCCGAATATATCGGAAAACTTGCTCACAGAGGTTATCCGACCTGCTAATTTCGAATCACATCTGCTTAGCAAAATAGCTTCGTATCCTGCGGCTATGGAGAGTAGAATTTGGGACGACAAGATTTTTCCACAATTCACCATCCGTTCTATTCCCTTTGAAAAGAAACCTGCGGCTACTATTTAGCACATCATAATCTACAGAAAAAGTGCTATCGAAAGATCCTCGCTGGAATGTACTCGGGACAATGCTCGCTGCTTTACCTTCGCGAAAAGACGTCCTCAGAAAGATTCAAGAATACTGAAATCGTAATATCAAGGACATGCTGTGTATAGGAAGATTCGCCTTGATGAGCTGAGCAAGGCGCTGCTTTCGGATTCAAAATATACTTATTCCAAAGGAAGTTATGGCGAGTAGAATTTAGAAACGCGTGATTTTTCCAAAATTCGCCAACGCTTCTATCTCCTTTGGAAAGAAGTCTGAGCCTATTTTTAGCGCACAATAATCTACAAGAACAGTATTATCGAATAGTACTAAGTCTTCTATGTTGGGTGGGCGTTGCTCCACATATTCGCGAAAGGACCTCCGCAGAACAAATTGAAAAAACTGGAAACGGAATATCGAAGACATCGTACCCCCACTTCCAATATATAAGAAGATTCTCCGCGCCGAGCTGAATCGAGTGGTGGCTTTGGATTCAGAATTTGTCCATCCTGAAGCGAGATATGGCCACGCGACGCTGATGTATGGACATGTCCATACATGTATGGCCACGCGACGCTGATGTATGGACATGTATGGACATGTCCCTAAATGTCCATACATGTCCATACATTCGCTACTTTTCAAAAAATGTGAGCGGTATTGTAGGATCTCCACTGCGGAAAGGGCTAAACAATGAACTCAGCTAAACTCATGTTTATTGAACTTTGCGTTTGCAGAGAAGTAAAACGAATTAGGCTCACACCTCTCCAGTGAAAACTACATTATTTAGATGATGTATTGACCGAAGTGTGCGCTCAAAAAACTATAAAATGAGAACAAAAAACTAATTTTCTTTAGCACGCAGATCAAAAAGTACTCATATTCAACGCTAAAATACTATTCTCCTTTTCTGGCATAAATTTCTTGGGAGTGCAACTAGAGTGTTAGTGCCCATTTATGGCAAGCAGTAAGTATGGCATGAGATCGTGTAAGGGGTGTGACCATTGAATGATCTGGCTTCATCTAGTCTGCTTTCCGTGTGTTAGTAAAACGAGCTCTCTTACTAGATCTACCTTCACGATATCACTCTGTCCATGACACATTGTAAACAGTATATATAAAGAACTAGAAACAATCGACGAATTCTTCCACCGTTTCATTGATAGCCCCTCTTGCAAGCTTTTTCATGATGTTCTATCATCTCTCATCGAAAAAGCAGAATATGTCATCTCAATCAAGAATTGAACAGTGGCAAAAAATTTTGCAGGGAGTCATTACCACAAGATCCACAAAATAGAATTTTCTGGCTTGAACTGAAACGACGACCTTTACTGCAAATTTGAAGTGATGGTGAGTCCCAAACTCAAAAGCATTTTCGTATTTGATTTTTCTTGTGTACAAAATCTTCTTATCTCACTCAATGAAACAAGAAACTATTAAATAACACTCTTTTGTTGCGCACCTCTTCAATGCTATACAAAAATTTTCAGTCTACTTCATGCCAATTTCCGATATCCAAGTAAACGCGATGGTTTTGGTAACAACTACATTAACTCCAGCGGGTATAACTTGTTGGAGAAGGAAACCAACCATTTTTTTAGGATAGATTCTTTAATCTCGGTTCTATGGTTTTTTTTACTCAACAATTCCCAAAAATGCTTCGAATTTATGTAGTAGCGGTCTGGCAGCGAGATGTAGGAAGCTTCAAGTAACCCTTCTTCATGACTTGCGAAAAAGAATTTTCGGGATTTTTTGCTCTTTATTCTCCAGTAAGTTCTCTTTCGTGTTAGGTACTAATCATGCTCAAAATTTTGTAGAAACCTACTGATTCAATTGATTTTTCTACAAATCCCCATTTTCACGAGAAAAGTTGTGTTCATTGCATGACTTAGCACTGCTATTTTTCTCAACATGCAGTTCGACTAGTAAATTTCGAAAGTGAATTGCTAGGGAGATAAGATTGAAGCTCTGCCAGCTGGAAGCTAATGAATGCAAAAAGTATGGATGAAAGCCGTGATTAGGAACTCTGCTGAGTTACTGTTAAAGGTTTAGCAAATTGTTGCAGTTTCAGATCAACTCAGCGGTACTGCTGTTGGTCGCCGCGCAGCCATTATCTGCGATATTATTCAACTTGGATTTCGAACTGCCCCCTCCGATCGTCCACCAGCTGCCACCAGAACCACCTGGGTGCTGCAGTCCAATCCAATGTGCATTTGCTAACTCAAAACCGCCATGCCCAATCGGAGGAGCAGCGGGAGGAGGAGGAGGAGGAGGGTGAGTCGTGATACAAGTTGTTTTTGGGGGTTTTTTTGCATCTCCTCTTAGGTTTTTTTTTTATCTAAAATCGGAAAGCAAAAGTATGATTCAAGAAACTAACTCATCCAGAATGATATTATAGAAAGTGCATCAGAAATTTAATCCGAGCGAAGTGATGACGCAATTTTTTTAAAATTAACCTTTAGCTTTTTGTAGCTAAATGAGGAAGACAGCGCTTTTTCGAGCTCCCTAAAAAACCAAACGATGTTGCTACTTCATAAATCCTAAACGATGGATGGCTCGAGGGTTGACTTGGAATGCTTTCAACCAGGATATGAGATTGATTTTATACCGGAATGTTGACCTGAAAACACTTTCGTTATCAAAGTACTCATAATATTTGATCACTGACTAGAAGATGACATTCATATCTACACTTGATGGTGTAAAGCTAGAGTCCTGTTTTAGTTTTTACTGGCTGCTGGCTTGTATCGTCGCAAGTCACGAAAACCAGTTGTGGAATACCAAATGATAGAGCATTTAGCTAATGTATGCGAAGGCTTGTCACATGCAAGCTAAGCAGAAGCATAAACACAATGAGTTTGCTAGTCTATGATTTTGGCTAATATTAGGGTCAGGGCTCGGCACGAGCTGGCACTAGGGAATTTTCAAAACGAAGTCCCTGACTTTTGGGAATTTTTACGAAGCTTTGATCCTCAACATATCTCCTCTAAAATCCATAAAAAACCCCAAAAACGAAACGTCGACTAAAAAAAAGGTCGCCGTCGCCAATTTTGCGTATATCTTCGCCCGCAAAAACGAAACCCCCTTTGCTTTTTGCCCCAAAAACGATATCCAGCTTGCCCCGTGCCAGCTGTCGCCAGGCCCCGATTAGGGTGGATCGAAAGTTCTGTTGCACCATTCAAAAATTCTGATTTCTTAACGGATTTGCATCCACCAATTTTGATTTGGAAGAGGTAATTATGCTCTTCATGAAACATGTAGCACACTTCCGAAAATGCCCATATCGCGCAGATGGAAACGGTACCATTCAAATTTTGCTATTTTGTTTGATCATAAAAAATCTAAACTGTGCTGATTAGATGCCTCCATGAAAAGATATAAATTTCAAAAAAAGCCAAAATTAAGATTCGCTTTTTGTACCGTTTGCTCAGAAATGATATTTTTCTGCAGAGACAATCAGTCAGCACGAACTTTGCTCGTTTAAAAGGGATCATAACATGAACTGTTTCGATTTTTATGCAAGTTCCAGGTTTTTTAAGGCCAAACATAGAAAAATCAGATATTGAGTAATTTTCTTCTACATCAGCTACGCTGTGTATGCATATTTGAAGTGGGCTGTATGCTACTACGAAGTGCATAATTTCCTCTTTCGAATGAAATTTAGCACATGCAGAACCGTTCCAAAATTCTTATGAATTTTTCAAAATGGCGCGACAGAGCTTCCGTTTCAACCTATTATTGAAAAGCAAATGAGTGATTCATGAACAAAAGGTTAGATGGCAAAGCAACGCTCTCACCCTGATTTCCCAAAAAGCCGAGAGAAACTTGCTTTGTTTCTCGCTGGGTGCTCTTTTTTTCTCAAGCTTTCTTGGGAAACCCGTATATTAGTAAAATCCAAAGAGATTTGCGCGATCGTAGCCGATTCGCCGTACCATTGCGCATCAATTTTTGGTAGCTCAAATCGACTGCACAAACAATAATTCCATAATTTCTTCAGCTCTTCTCTGTTGACCTATTCATCACAACGATCTATGAAATAGATAAAACAACATGTTAACAAACACATACTGTGGTTTCTTCTTGAGACAGAAGAACTTTATCCTGTAAATAAAATAGATGAATGCAATGATCTTTATTGGCAATATTCGCTCTCGTTCATGCACAGTCTTCCAGCCTCAGAGCAAGATAAAATGCAAGGAAAAATTAAAAATTTGCAAGCAAATGGCTTATGTGGCCGTTCGCAAACTCTATGGGGTCAAATTTCTTTAACCTGTTGGGCTATACTCAGATGCTCGTATTCAGAATTTCTAGGATGTTTTTCATACGCGAAATGATAACTTGCTTAAACTTTCGTGTTGACTGACTCACAGAAAGAAGTCATGAATCTGATTTCCATGATCAATCTCTTTATCCAGATACATTGACCCGGCACCAGCTCCACTACCAGCACCCCAGCAACCATATATACCGCAGCCTCAACCAGCGTTAGTTCCACAAGCTCCGCAAATACCACAGTACACTGGTAAAGGATAAAAGAGCGAAACCTAACGTAAGCTGGAAATGCTATGAATGAGGACTTCATGGCTATTCTACCTGTGCAAGCTCTACCTCAAGTGATTCTAGGAGATTACGATTTTAGTATGTCCTTTCTAGTTTGAAGATGTATATCTCTTGCATAAATTATTTGTCAAATGTTCATCATGTGTTAGTTATCAAGAAGTATAATTAAGTGTTTTTTCAAAGTTTCTATCCCGCTTTTGCAGAATCCGGCCAGTTCCGCGCAGCCACTGCTTTGTTTCCATCTCAAACATAGCAAACATTTCCACGTTTGCCTCTTCTGATCTCCTTACTTGCTATGATTGGATCATTTGCGTACAAAGTCTCCATAGAAAACTCTTTAAAGGATATGAGGCATTTAAAAACTCGTTACAACGCAAGGAAGAAGGCGTCGGGCCTCGATGATGTGCTCCGACAGTGATTCAGAATATTTCTGTTGGGGTTAATAGGACTCGACTACAAGTTACGCATTAGAACTGTATGTAGCTTCAAATCAGTCGCCTTCGAGTATCTGAGAAAGCGACTGCTGACGCACTTCTGAGGCAATATTATTAATCTTCGTGAAGGATTCTTGTACAGGTCACAGCCCGTACAGGAGCAGGCGTTTGTATGTGCGATACATGTGTATTTATCAATCTCCCGGTCTCAGATCGGGCGCTTTCACCGCTACATGTCCTAATTAAAGCCTTGGAGCGGTTCTACAACAAAGCAGCGCCCGATCGAGATCGAGGATCAACAAGTACGCCTAAGATGAGTAAATAATTCGGCTCATGCCTGTTTGGGAACCTGCAGAGAAGAACGATACCAGAAACGCCTGCTAACGTGAACTTTGTAGTTCACAAATCCGTAAAAACTCACTGTTCATTGAATTTTTTTTTCTTTTCGCTCAACAAGCACTGTAACAGTCTGTCCCAATCGGGATCAGGTCGAATGGTTGGTTTAAATTTGCGCGCTCGCAGCGTTAGAGGTTTGCACTGCATATGCGCACTGCGTACTCTTGCACGTCTAGCGATTTCGCAACAGTGAAGTCAAGATGGAGGAATTAGGGTAGCGATCCCACTGAGATACGAATAATTGATGTAATTTAAGAATTCAGTTAATTAGAATGTAATCAATCTTTACTTGGATCATTTCAATCCTTCTAAGCTCATCATTTCCTTTGTTGCTGACTGGTTTCTATAAGAAACAAGAAAAGAAAAAATCAGTCATCGACTTGCGCTCGGATAATGTACCCTTTGCTTCAACCAGAATGGCTGCTGGAAGGCGGGGCTTCAACACCTAGGAGGCGGCTGCTCGCGTCCGCGACGCAGTCTGTGCCTCCCTCGCGAACATGCTCTCTGATCGTTTTTTAGCCTTAATTAGGTCACGGAGACCCGCCTTCCAGCCGCCGATCTGGTTAAAGCAAAGGGTAGACAAGGAACGGTCAAAGCTAATGCCTCCTTTGGCCTTCTTTGCTTGATGTCGCCATCATATTCAAGGAGGTAAAATCATATGCACCCCATCCTTTTTGTTCGCCTTGGTCTTCCACTGGTAAGTTGCTCTCACTTGTCTAACGACTGCAACGGAATTTGTGAGTAATCATAGTGCAACATGCTCCTTGCCCACGACATGTGATATATGAAGCTACATTGCAAGAATAGTATGTCGGCATTTGGAGAGATCGTTATGGCGTTGTGGAGAGGAATATGGCCTTCTCCGAGCAGGCAAGAACTTGTGATTGTTTTGCAGTTCAAAAGGCATAATGGAGAAGCATAGAGCTTCTTCCTTATCCAACGCATTAGGTAGGGACATTGTACAGATGAGCTTTCACTACTTGCTGGAACTGAGGGGACCTTTCCAAAAAAAAACACGTTTTGGGAATGCCTTGACCCTGCCCAGGCGATCTTGAACCGCAAGGGAGAGGGTGGAAGAACTAATACTCCTACAGACCTCGCTTCCAGAGACCGGTCCCTTCCCATAAGCTATAGTGTACAAGGGGGGCAAGGAGCACAAGATGGTGATAGAGGACAAAATCGGATAATCCTTGGCATGAAATTTCCAAAAAATGAATATTCTTCAAATCCTAGCTCTCACTTCATGTCAGATTGAGGAGGAGACTGTGAGAATCTAGCAAAAAACATACGTACACCTAAAGTTTTGATGTGAGATGTTGATCATGCTTTACCAGAAGAAAAAGAAGAGGAAAGGAGGAGCAAATGGGATTGCTTCTAAATCATACGTCGTCCAAAGAGGATTCAAGCAGTCAGGGATAAGAAAAACTGTAAAGAAGATCCCAAGACGACTGAGCTGTAAAAAAATTTAAGTAAGGCCTATGGACTTACAATTTACAATCATGGTAAGATGAGCAATTTTCGGTTGACATTTGATATTGTGAGGAAAAAGTAGTTCTAATTAGCTCTGGGTTTTCTTTGAAATTGAATTTTTTTTATTTGTACATCTGTAGCCGTTGGTAGAAGATGTTTTAGAAAGGATTTGAATAGGAAAGGGCTTTTGGAAAGGGTAAAGAAATGAGTGAGAGTGCTACAGTGCACATTAATCAAGTGAAATACACAAAAGCACATTTAGAGATAATGTCCTATATGGAGTCAGCCAATAGTGAAAAAGAACAAAATTGCTCAAGTGAGAACTCAAAGATAATAATATCTCTGATTGCAAGTGCCTAATAAGACGGAACAGGTGATATCGCCAAGTCGATGACCGCACGGACTGGACGTAGATTGCGAAGCAGGCGGGACGCACCTGAAATTTCATAAGAGCGCGATTCGCACAATAGCGATTTGTACTGGTACAAGCGTTTGGCAGCACGGCGCGTGCTCTGCAGTCTGGCCAATCCGTGCGGTCAACGACTCGACGGTACTGTAGATTTCAAATCAGTTTTTGAGGAAATTGGACTGGCGGGAGTCGGCTCGCCGATCCCGCTGAGCCAGCGGCGGTGCGTAAGCGCTGCTCCACTTGGAATGTTTCGCCTACTCCGGGTTGAAAAAAACTGTACCACTCACATAAAAATGAAAAGTGGGAAATTTTTCAGTCTCCACTGACTTTTCCTTTCTCATAAGGCTCTTAGAAAATCCTACGAAGACTGTAAATCTTCCAAGATTGAACTCTAAAGGGCCGGGCATACTTCACGCGATTTCAGTCGCGACGCGATTTGACAATTCGCCAGAAGTCTTCAGATCCCACACTAGCAAACTGCACATGCATAGAGTGTATAACTTACGTGGAGTGATACAATGTCCTATCTCCTGGGCATTTGAAAAGTATTTGCAGTGAGTTATGGACAGTTGGAATATTGCCAAATCGCGTCGTGACTGAAATCGCGTGAAGTATGCCCGGCCTTTAAAAGCGCATGGTCGCTCAAACAGCGTTTTGAGAATTGGAGACATAAAGGGCCATGCAAATGATGACGCGGTGAAAAGTACATAGTCAAGAAGGCCTGCGAACGAACTTTCCCACAGCTTGGTCATAAATCCAGTTGATAGATCATAAATTTTCTAGTAGTGATCTAGCTAAACTGGAGTATCTGGAAGACGACTGCATCTTGTTCTCTCTAGTTTAAGTTACACACTAATGAAAAGTTTTCTAATGGTGAATCTTTCTCGTACACAACATCGAAAAGTTCTTGCTTTTTACAACTTTCACGCCAAGCCAGTTCTAGTTCAACGAAATTTTGAGACTTGAAGTATAACGCTTTTGGCAGGAGCTGTGACCACGCAATCTCTCGTCTGATGGTATGTAAGACAGGAAACCGACCGGATCAGTCTTACTTAACTCCTCGTCCCACCCTCCCCCCCCCCCTCCGGCTTTACAAGTGAGGCGGACATTTTTCTACATCTACACTACTCGTAGAGAGACAACCCAAACTTCAACTTAGAGGTCCCAAAGTTTGATGAAGTGCCTCTTGGCTGAAACAGTTTCTTAGAAGCCTAGCTCCCAGGAATCAAACCCTCAGGCCCTCGATTTTATCAGGAAGCATTTCTGCCATACGCCACTCGTCTGACGTATCTCTTGACCACAACTCTTCGCGGAATTGCTTTCTATAAAACATCTCTCAATCACTACGGGTTTACGGAGAGGCGTAATTGCGCGACTCACAAAACACCGAGGGGATTTTCTGAGCTGGATTGGCTGTGTGAATACGACAAGCACCTGCTGCGAGTATTTGACGCTACATAGATCGAAGTCATGGTGAGTCAAATGTAACCTTGAATCGGTGTTGTTTTTCCAAAATCTTCGCTTTTGCATTGTGTCACTTACTTCATCTTTTACTCAGTGTTAGTTCTTGCTTAATTGTCCATTTCCGATGTATATTTGTATTTTTACCTTAATGTCGGTGGATGTCTTGTCCTGAATGACTTTATGCCAATAACCTGTACCATAAAAAGTTGAAATGTCTTTAGCGATTCTTCTTTTTTTTTGTCCACTACTTTGATCAACAATTTGATATTGTCTTGGCGGTGCCACTTCTACCTCGGCATGCACCAGATTTGCAATTTCGGCAAAATTTAAAATGCAGAGAGTGTGGGTGTTTTTTTTTTGAAAGAGTTCTTTCATCAACGTGACCTTATAACAATAACAACATCAACTGCCTGCTAAAAGCATAAAGAAAACTCGGAAAGTTTAGCGAATTGATAATTAAAAAAAATTATTTATTTAACTGCACTGGCATCTTCACCCGTAATGAAAAACCAAATAGCTCCAGTCCTGTACTTCTACATTCGTGCGACAAATGCAAAAATTCTGGGTATTTGGATAACTTTCTTGCCCAGCATTTCGGGTGATTTTTCAATTCCTCAAGTGTTTTCCTGGAATGAATTAAGGTCTGAATAGTGTGGAAGTAGCATAGAGCACTAAGCACCGACTACTAGCACTAGCACTTCTAATATTGCTAATAACATTAAAAAAACTACAATATATACTGAAACATTAAGAATAGCACGTACATGTAGTTTACTCAGTGATTTCATCAACAAAATTACACAACTCAAATTAACACTTCTAACTAACCATGATTCATACACTATCTCATCAAGTATATTTGAATGCATAAATAGAAGTAAATATATTCTGTATAAATAAATTGTACGAAAAACAAAAAATAAACTTTTAACTGAAATATTACAAGTATAATAGATGTTTTACATAATGATTACAATTATCCAACCGAAAAATTGCAAAGTCTATAAAATGGAGATATGAATTAATAATAAACAATATAAACAATAATAGCTTGATACAATAATTTAATAACTTCATTTATCTAATTACAGCTTTCGGAGCGGTTTTATAGTACAAGCCACGAAATCAAAAAGTAAGTCATGCTATTTTTTATATATTCTAATTAACCACAAAAAAATTTTCTAAATACAAACTTTCTACTTGATACTGGATCTTCCTTCCACCCAAATCTCCGTTTTTGTAAATTTTATTGGTTACCTAGCTTGAGCTTCCCGCAAGCTTTGACGAAGCAACAATAATTTCCTAGCTTTTTTACGGTCATCAGTGGCTCTAGTCACTGAATAAATAACTTTCACGTCTACTAAAAAGATGTTTTCAGAATATGATCACAAGTGAGTTATGCACGGTGCGAGATACCATCTTTGAAAGCTTTAAAAAAAGGATATATTCACTCACTCCTGTATCAAAAGTTCTGGTTCAATCCAACAATGATGTAATCGAATTTGCTTTCTTCAAAAAGCGCGTCTATTAGTTACATTTTTCATGATTACTATGACTAAACAAAATCAGGACTATTATTCAGTAGTTCCTATGGTGGAGAAGGAACCGAGCATCCGGTCCAAATGTGTTGGACTACACAGCAGATTGATATTTAATAATACAGCATAACATGAGCTACTGCCTAACTGCTATCAGCCTTACCTACTTCCATTCCGGCTTCAGGAGACAAATATTTCCTTTGAATCAAATCTAATCTCATGAAGAACAATTCTAAGCTCACTACTTTCGTCCCCCCCCCATGTTTACTGACTGGTTACTATTACCTTTCTAAGCAAAATACTAATAGCAGACAAAACGTGGGGGGAAGCTCAGGGTACCGACCCCCATAAAGAAGACTAACGGAAGAAGCCCCGGCATGACATTGCAACGGTCTTTATGCCAGCCGGCAGCAAAAAACATCTGCCATAACGGGAGCTCATGACAGAAGGAGAAATGGGACTTCTGCTTTGGAAAAGTTGGATCGTTTCATACGATTGTTTAATAATTTTTTTCCACATACATCTCAAATATCTCAACACCACAGTTGTATGAAATACAGGGTGGTTCAAAAGTATGTATACACTATTTAATCATTTGGCCTACCTCCGGGCACCATTTCGTACAGCTGGCTTCACCTTAGATTTATAGTATGAAGCAAATCACCCGTCGCTCTTCATTACTGTAGGATTACGGTGAAAACTTCAAGAAAGGTTATAAGCCATTAAGGGCCCTATTTCGGCCCATAAAGCAAACCAAACAACCTGAAAACTTTTATGCTGGGCTAATTCGAGCCGATAAAACCAATGATGAAGTTTGCACTCTACCGCAATGCTTCGTGCATAAGTCATGCCAGATAAGCCGCAATAGTTGTTTTTGTAAGACCCCCTAAAATCTTGATTACACCATTTGAAAGGCTTTGTAGACTTTAAACTGATTAATGACATCAGGGCGTGTAAAAGCCCTGGTACACCGCTTTTCAGATTTTTTGGAATTTTTCTGAAACACGATAAATCCACTATGACGCTGTAAGCTGAAAGTTCTTACCGTAATTCTACAGTAAAAAAAGTCATTGGTGATTCGCTCCATACGGTAAATCTAAGTTGAACCACGCTCTACAAAATGGTAACTGAATTTAGGCAAAAGACTTCTTGTGCAAAAGAGATATTAACGATCAAACAGTGTATACATAGTTTTGGGACACTCTGTATATGATTTTTTTTTTCCTTCTCAATACTCTCTGTATTACTAGTATAATGAGTAGATACGAATGCTAGTATAGTTGCTTTTCCGACAACGCTTTCCGTGAACACTTGTAGTTCTGCTATTTTTACGCGCAAGAAAAGCACGCTGCCAGCATCCACAGGCATGACATTTGATTCCGCGCAAATGCTGTTGCCACCGCAAGATTGCTACAACAACCGTCAATTTTTCTAAACTGCATATTTACTGCTGCAATTTCAGATCCGCACAGGGGTATTACTTGTGGTCACTGCACAACCGCTGCTTGCATGTTTCAACTTGAACTTCGACTTACCGCCTCCTATCATAGGACCGATGCCACCGCCAAATCGACCAATTTTACAGTGCTGCAATGGTCAGGTCGTATGTGCACCTGCTGCTCCACCATGTCCATCGGGAGGAGGAGGAGGAGGAGGGTAAGTCACAAGTCACACAATAATATCCTTTATTCTATTCTACTCTGGTAACGTCAAAGGATTTGGAATTCCTGAAATTTAGAATGTTAATAGTTGTAGAATTTATTGAAGTTTGCCTGTAACTGAAAATTTTACCACACTCTCGGAGAAATTGGCGTTATTGCTGCCGAACACGAGTATTCTCTGCAGTTTTAGAAAATTGCTGACTTTTTAAGAAATATGTCAATGCAGATTAAGTTTTGATACTTTCATGCACCGTAGGGGCCGTCAATGTAATTTTGGAATAGGATATTGTAAATTATATGATATTTGCAGCTATTGATTGATTGATTTGTTTATCCCTTTCTTAAGTATAGAGATGTACTAATTTACTTGAGATACAATACAAAATCCAAAGCTGTAGAAACTGTAAAAACGAAATTAAGTTAAAATCGCAAGTAAAAGAAATAATACTTATATAAAAATGATATCTAAGTTTGCCCTAATGCTGATAAAAAATTTACAGCGATCAAACTTTTGCTTGGGCAGCAATGCCGATAAAACTTGAAACAGCTATGTAGCATTGTTGGGAATCATATTCTCATATAAATTTCGATGTTTAAAAATGACGAAAGAAATTTTTCTCCTGAAAACTTTTGTTCTCTCAGTCCAGAGTTTGAAGAAATCAATTAATTTTGGGCCTCATTTACAGCAGTAATGAGGGCATAATTAAGAATATTTATGGCGAGCAAGAAGCCACTTTAAACTGTAGTCTTCGCACTCTAATCAAATGAAGAGTTCGTTTTTTGTTCCAGTGATTTCCGAGTTTTCTCACCCGTTAAAAACTTTGCGCCGACTACAAGTCCACTTTCGCAACCATTCACACTAGTAAAGAAGTTTGATTCCAGTTCTGGTTTTCACTTAGCTAAGCACTTGATCCTATAATATCGCCGCAAGTCAAGAGAACCAGTTGTGCGATGTGATATCGGACTCAATGCAATATGTGCGCTACTGCTCTTGTTACATGATGATTTGTACTACTGAAGAAAAAGGCGCAAGAGATTATTGTAGGATACTGTAATATTGAGTGTATAATGTAGTATAGTCATGATAACATACTATAAGCGCCGAGTAAATTTGTTCATCCTTAAAAAACATCGAACAGACTCAAAATCAAACATTAACGTTTCAAATTACTGTTTTTTTTTCAATACTATTCGCATACAACATGAAAGGGCAGTGCCTATATGCCGAAACTATGCAGCGGAGCTCCAGTGTCGTGTCAGCGCAGTGCCATAGACGATCACACTATTGATCGACATACAGGCACGCATAGGCTCTGCACTGGCACGACATTGACACGGCGCTGGCACGAACAACTCTGAACGCGACCAAAAGGCTCCATGTTTGGTGTCTGTCTTCAAAAATGCCAATTTCACGACTACGAATAAAAAGTCTAACCTTTTCGAATCGATGCGCTATGTACAGAAAGTCAAAAATTCTTTGTGAAAAGCTAATTCGCTTAATTCAGCTACGCTGCTCCTGCCCCTTCTTATGCAGCAGGACCACCTCCGCTGCCATCGTATGCAGCACCGGCTGGACCAGCACCTATAGTTCCGCCAGCTCCGCAATTACCACGATATGCAGTTGCAGGGTAACCAAGACCGGAAGAAGGCCAGCTGCAACCCAATATAGTGAATACTGCCTATAGGACCTCTGTGAACTGTGCATGCTTTATATTTACGTCACCTGCAAAGGAGATATTCTACAACTTCTATTTCCTTCCCTTAGAAACTCATATGTTTTCCCATTTCCTAACTCAGTTGAAAGAGGAGCAATGAATGTACAAAGGTAATTTATACAACTGTTTCTCCTCAATGCAAAGTTTTGTTCAATTTTCTGGCATGTCTTTATCGTGGTTTTGTTCCTGTGATGCTACATCACTATAAACTTTACTTAAGATTTTGTTGTGTTTGTAAATGAGACCATACGCAGTTCTAAATGTGAAACATCAAAAGAAATAATAAATTTGCGGTGTATGGGTACAGCATGGTAATCGTAGAGGTGCAAAAATAGTTGAAGTTTTTATTGCTCAAAGTTTTCCCATTTGAGAAGAATGCCAAGACGCTGACACCTAAGCCATAATTTGTTTCTGAAAGTTGAAACAGTGGTGTTGGCAGAAAAGAAAGAGAAAAGAAACGATGGGTTCATTGTGGTATATTTAACGGAATGTCTATGATTGGGCAAAACTGTATGAGTTCAATTCATTGTGCCTGAGTTACAGCAGAAATTTCTGTCAATGAATGCCAGATTAGTTTTTGACTTTGATATAACACTGAAATGTCGTTGATTACGACTAAAATTCAAATTGAAAATTGCGCGAGTCAAGAATTGCACTATGATCATGTTATACAGTGCTGGACATGCTTTGTTTTTAGAAACCGTGCACTTGGTTCTCGCAACTTCTACAAGTGCATGTTTACCCCTAATTTGAATAGATGTACTTGTTTTCTCAAGCTTTGATGAAAAGGGCATCTGGAGCTGTAGCCTCAACTCTTACATAAAAACTGTTCTCTTTGTCTTCTGGCGGTATAAATAGTGCAGAGCTTCCACTGCATTCGAGCTTCTAAACCATTCAGTACATTACACATTCAATTTCATCTAGCTTGCACGATGTTGAGCCTCACGTTCATCTATTACTTATTCAACCACTCATTGTTGATACATCTACATTCTAATCGACCTGCTCGCATATGTATCTCTCTTATATCACTTATATGCAACTCGCTTATTCTCGCCTGTATTGATATATTATCTAACGTTTCCGCGCATTGTATGCCTTTGATAATGGTCTGTTTACACAATTGAGGTTGGCTACCGCTTGGCTTGTACAACAAAACAGCAGCAACTAATTAATTCGATAAAGTCAATTAGCAAGGATAAAAGCCACTACATTCCTTATTCGGGGCATCTTCAAGCACGCATTGAGGTTGGTTTGACTCAATCTGCAGTTTCCATTGCTACCAATTTGTAAGGTTTTTCTAAAAGTGCCTCTAACTTTATCGCATATCTCCTATTCCATCGACAAGTCAGTCAAATTTACGGTTCCCAAGCGTCATGTCAACAGACTAAACACTAATTTCTTTTTCCACGAGGCATTGAAAGACCTCATTATCGCCGATGTCGACACGGAATCCTTCCGAACACTCAAAGTCTACAACAATTTGAATAAGCCATTGAAAGTATCGAAGCGGCCATTTTGATAATCAAGCGTGCTAAGACGATGCGTACTCATTCTCATTGAGCAACCAGATCCCAGATCCCAAGAATATTCTACAAAAGTGAGATTGCCGCAGTGGAGTATTCCATTATCTCATAGATACTAAAGTGTGGATCCGCGTATTTGAGGCACGACGGCTGCAAGATCAAATATTGTGGAAGTTTCTAGCTTACCCCACACCCAACCGTCGAAAAGCTTTGAAGGAACAAGAATTGCGTGTTCTTCGGACATTACTGAAGAAGTTATGGTATGCAAAGAAATAGCGTTTTTTAAGCAAGGAACTCAAAAGTCGCAAGTTAGCTTTCGCTGCAAAGTCAATGCACGAGGAGAACTTCGAAAAAGCAATGTCTGATGATGTATGCTTTGCGAGGACAACGGGTCTATCTTATACAAAAAGCTCTCTTCGGATGGCATTCACAATATCCATGCACACAAAATGTGACTGATTTGCGCTCCTGCAACACTCCTGCTACCAGGAACCAAGACGCTTTGAAGGGTGTCCCGACAAGGTTGAGGGTTGTGAGATTCTCATTCCATGTAAAACCGGATGCCCACGGACATGTCATCACGCAGGTGAGCGGCCATAACCTTAGAGCAGAAGCGAAATCATCTTGACATCTTGGCCGGCGTGTGCTCATCCCATTGTATTGAGTTGATTGTGTGTTGGTTGAAGATCTGGATAAATGGTGGGCACCCTTAGAGTCTTAGTGTTTGATACGGATGTTGGGCTTAGAGCTTAGGCCTTAGCCCCAGTAATATCTGTGCGCTATTATGGTTGTGTGTTCATGATGTGTTCGATGTCCTGGAAGGTTCCATCCGTAGAAGGATAGGCATGATCCGCGGTAGTGCCAGCGTGATGATGATCCACAACTGCCAACAGTGTGGGGAGCGGCTTGAGATAGCTGGGAGTTGAGATTGGGGGTCGGTTGGTAGCCTAGGGCCTCTAAGATGTGTAGTGTATCCGTATTTGGCAGGCCATAAGAGCGTGGCGCAAGCTAGCTACCCTCCCACATGTGTCGTTACTCTGTCTCACGGAAGGAGTCCTCCCCTCCTGCCGCCGACGCAAGGAGAGCGTTACCACTGACGTCTGGAGCGGGGGACCTCAATCCGCGACACAGTCGTCCGCAAATTACATTGCGCTTTTTAACAGGATGTCACCGCTTTTTCTTCTTCATTTATCAAAGTTCTTCTACCGCCCATCTTTTTTGGCCACTTTCATTTCATTTGAGCAGCATGTGTGCACGTTGCAAAAAGTGATCGTATCACATCTCACTGAAAGGTAGCGAGATAGAGATATCTTGATGATACGTTTCCTCTAGCCTAAAGCCTTTGAAGATTGAAGGGTTCTGTTGTTACGCCGTCATATATACTAAAGCATGATTCTAACAAGAACATATTGTTCCAGATTCGCAGTGATGAACTGGAAATGGCACCACCGTCCTGTCACTATTCCGCAACAATGGTCGAACTCTACGGCAAACGAGATAGAAAAGAAAATGGTCGACTTGATGAGAAAACTTAGGATTGGAAAGTGCAGAGCAGCCGAGATCATCACCCAGTACAAATATTTCGAGCATATACATAGGCATGACCCAGTGCCACCCGTGAAGAGGCTCGTGGAACATTACAGATTTGCGCAGGAAGTCAAAAAGGCGCAAGCGAAAATAGCGCGTCTAGGCCTGAAGTATCACTACATGGAGGACATTCACAAGTCAAAAGCTCGTGAGGGGCATGATCTGGAAAGATGGCAGGCATGGCAAAGCATTCATTTGACCATCGACCCAATGAGACACGGAAGTGCTTTAGCCAATGCTGTCAAAGTCGTAAAGTTTCTCGACAAATGGCTTGCCATTATTGTAGAAAAGCAAAGTGTCATCGTGGATATGCTCCTCAGTTATGAAAAAGATTTGAGTTCTAGGCCAACAAAATTCGCAATTCAACGAAAAAGGAGCAGTGCACCTATGGAAGTTATCAAATACACTAAAAAACCTCAACTCTCACACCTATCTCCCACTTATACATTTACTCATGATGCTTAGTACATCCAACATCACAGTTGCGCTTACTCACACATCTCGCTTATACTGCTCACTTACATGCAATTCACTTATCCTCGCATATAATCTCAATACTAACATAACCTCATCCGCTCACTGTATTGTTTGTTTGAATAAATGTTTCTGATTAAGTTTGAAGTTGGCTGTAGGTTTATACTGCTTGATAGATTTACTCAAACACAACCACCAGTCATCAACTGAAAATCATTTCAATCAGCAAGGACGCCACTTCATTTTTTACAGAAGTGATAACTTTAGACAAGTGAAAAATTAATGAAATCGGTGAAATTGTTGACGATTCCGTCTTCACATTTTGTGGTTTTTTGGTTTTCTAGTTCTATAATTCGAGACTACTATAAAAGTGTCGTAAATAACACTTCAATATAAGCGGCAAAGATTATGCATGTTGCCTTGAATGTTGTAGTAACAATCAAATGCGAAGAGATCAAAAGATCAAAAAGGCGATTAGCAAATTGAGGTCTAACCATAAATGACTGTGATGAGATGCTCAACTGAACAATTGTCTTGAAAGAGCTCAAAGAGCAATGCAATGGAAGACTCGCAAAGATTGGATGAATGACGTTTGGAAGGTTTAGAAGCATAAAGTAATAGAATATTGCGCATAAGGTCAGTCAGAGGCGAAGAGATTAATCCCTTATCGAAGCTGTGGTCTGATAGTGTTTGGGATCAAACATGTATATGCAGTGCAGAGCAAGGTTTCTGAGATCAGCAGACTCGAAAAATTACGCACATATGAAGTAACACTTTTCGAGAGCGCATGTCAAAAGCGCGATTTTTATAGAAATAGGAGATTAACACGCATTATTTTTCACGTGTTATAAAACGTTCAAAGTATTCAAAGTACTCAAAACTGCTAGAAATATTCCATAATAATTAAGCATGATTTTGTTTTATCCCGATGATCACTGTGTATACGTCCCATATTCAATTGATTGTCTGCCACGAAAACCACCTGACCGACTTGACCATCGAATTACACCCTCTCTCACGATTCATCATAAAATGACAAAACGTAAATTTTTGAATGAGTCTTACTAAAAAAGATAAGAAAGCAAAACCTTCATCACTAATTTTTTGACCACACAGAGTCTCCCAAAAATGTGCACACTGTTCGATCGTTAATATCTCTCCTACACCAAGTCTTCCGACGATTTCTAGGCAACTTTCGAGCGCTGGCTTCAACTTAGAGTAAGAAGCGAGATATTGACTTCTACAAGTGTGGGAATCAGGGCCCGGCAGGAGGTGGCATTTCAGAATTTTAAAAACGATATCCCCTTTGAAGCCAAAATTTCTTACGACT